TTTAATATTATTTTAAAAACTAAAAAGATGCCTGAGGAGTGGTGGAAGATTATTTTGGTCCCCATTTTTAAGAATATAGGGGATGCACATGAGTGTGCAAATTATAGAGGAATTAAGTTGATGTGTCATACTTTAAAATTATGGGAGAGGGTAATTGAACATAGGTTAAGATGCATCACGAAAATTTCTCATAATCAATTTGGATTTATGCCTGGCAGGTCTACTATGGAAGCTATACATTTATTGAGAGGTTTGATGGAGAAGTTCAGAGATAATAAGGAGAATCTACATTTGATTTTTATTGATTTAGAAAAAGCTTACGATAAGGTTCCAAGAGATATCCTTTGGAGAGTTCTCGAGAAGAAATGTGTTGATATGACTTATATTCAAGTCATTAAAGATATGTATACTAGAGCTGTTACTTGTGTTCAAACTGAAGGAGGATTGACAAAATATTTTCCTATTTCTGTTGGTTTACATCAGGGATCGACTTTAAGCCCATATCTTTTTGCTTTAGTTATGGATGGTCTTACTGGACATCTTCAAGAGGATGTACCTTGGTGTATGCTTTTTGCTGATGATATTCTTCTCGTGGATAAAACGAGAGAAAAAGCCCAGGAAAAACTTGAATTATGGAGGTCTACATTGGAGTCTAAAGGCCTTCGTTTAAGTAGAACTAAAACTGAATACATGGAATGTAATTTTAGTAGTAATAGATCTAGTGACAAAAGTGTGATTTTGGGTGATTAAATTATTAAAAGGTGTGAACGATTTAGATATCTTGGGTCCGTTGTCCAAAGCGATGGTGATATAGATGGGGATGTTAATAGTAGAATTCAAGTTGGTTGGTTGAAGTGGAGGAATGCTTCGGGCCTTTTGTGTGATAGAAAAGTACCGCTAAGACTGAAAGGAAAATTTTATAAGACGGTGGTGAGACCTGCAATGCTCTATGGCGCTGAATGTTGGCCTTTAAAAGAGAAGCATAATAATAAGTTAAGTGTTGCCGAGATGAGAATGATTAGGTGGATGAGTGGCTTTACATTTAGAGACAATGCAGAATGAATATATTCGTGATAGGGTTGGTGTAGCTCCTGTGACATACAAAATTAGAGAAAATCGTCTTAGATGGTTTGGTCACATTAAAGTCGACCATCTGATGATCCAATTACGAGAGTAGATGTTTTAGATTCGACT